GGTGACGCTCTGTGGAATGACCTTCCGCTCCCACTCGGACCCCGACCCCAGCCACAGCGCCCGCGGTACCTACCGGGTGACAGTGGGACGGCGAGGCTGCACCGTGCTGCCGGGGGAGAGCGACAGCTACAGGTGTGCCGCGGTGCTGGGAGGGAACAGCAGCACAGGGGCTCTGGGGCTGATCCCTGTCACTGTCCCGCAGACCCCTGCCCACCCCGCGCCGCAAGGACTTTGTGCATGTGCTGGTGTGTGAGCTGGAGCCGGGGGCGCCGGCAGCACGGGGGGGCCCAGCCGCCGTGGTGCTCACTGTGGGGGAGCCCGCCAGACCCTCTGGCTTCCGAGTCTACGGCTCCGCCACCCTCGGCGGCTTCGTCTTCGTGGTATGGTTCCACCCTGGTAGTGCCCCTGGCGGGCTCGGGGGGGTTTGGTTCACTCTCCCGTCCCACTGACCCCATCTCTGCTCAGGAGCCCCACATCAGTGCCCTGCACCCCCCGTTCGGCCCCCGGGGCGGTGGCACCCACCTCTCGCTGCATGGCAAACACCTCTCGGCAGGGAGCAGCTGGCGGGTGATGGTCAATGGCTCCGAGTGTGCCCTGACCGGGCAGCCCAGGTACAGCCCTGCCCTGCACCGGGCACAGCACGGTCCCCAGCACGGGACGGGCGCGGGCAGCCCCTGCAGTCCCGCTGTGCCCCCAGCCACGGCTGTCGTGTCTCCAGGCAGGACAACGGGACAATCCAATGCACGGCTCCCGCCGCTGGTGGCCTGGGCGCAGCCTGGGTATCCCTGTGGATCGACGGGGAGGAGTTCCCGGCCCCCGTGCCCTTCCAGTACCGCCCTGACCCCGCCGTATCGGCCATCGTGCCCAGCTGCAGCTATGAGTGAGTGCGTGGGCTCCCTTCCCCCCGGGTGAGGGGACAGCCCTGTTCTCCCACTGCCCTGGCTGGATGCTGGGAATTGCAGGCACCCTGGGGACCATGTGCACCCCGGGGAACCTGATCCCTGCCCGCTGTAGGGGCTCGCTGCTCACCATTATCGGCACCCACCTGGACTCCGTGTACCGCGCCAAGATCCGCTTTGAAGCCGGCGGTGTGGTTACCCCAGCCACGGTAAGCACCGGGGTAAGCGCCCTGCCCACCCCACCGCAACCCCCCGGGCACGTTCCGAGCCGGTGCTCAGCATCCCCCTGCCCGCAGGAGTGTAAGAGCCCGCTGGCACCCGAGCGGCTGCTGTGCCACAGTCCGGCCTTCCCCCTGGAGAGCAAGGTGGAGGTGGTGCTGGGGAACCTGAGCGTGCTGCTGGACGGCGCCGACGGCCGCTGGCTCTTCCGCCTGCGCTACTTCTCCCGGCCCAAGGTGTACCCCTTGGAGCAGGAGGGCAGGCGGCTCCGCCTCAAGCCCGGCGACGACGAGATCGAGGTGCACGTACGTGGGGCAGAGGGGTGAGCCAGAGCAGGGGGTCCCGCTGCCAGGACCCCCGAGCTCACGGTGCTCTGTCTGGGCAGCAACTGGGGCTGGATGCCGTGGCCACCTGCATGAACATCTCCATGACGGTGGGGGGCCTGGACTGCCACCCCAATGTCCTGAAGAACGAGGTGACGTGCCGCCTGCCCCGCGAGCTGCGCCTGCCCGCCGCCGGGGCCCCCGTGGAGGTAGGAACCCCCCGGCTGGGCAACCACCCGCCCCAGTCCCCCGCACCCTGTCCCTGCTGAGCCCCCGATCCTCCAGATCTGTGTGAACGGAGCCTGTGAGGCGCTGGGCTGGGTTCTGTCCCCCCCCACATCGCTGGACCTGGCCGCCAGCCTGGCTCTGGGCACCGGCATCACCTTCCTGCTCTGCTGCATCCTGGCTGCCGTGCTGTTCCGCTGGCGCTGGAAGAAGAGACGGGGTGAGTGCCGTGCCCGCCGGGTACTCTGATGCCCCCAGAGCCCTGCCACGCCACCCCCTACCCACCGCACTGCCGCCTGCAGGTACGGAGAACCTGGAGCTGCTGGCGCAGCCCGGCCGCAGCGACCCCCCCGTCACTACCCAGCGCCCCGGCGTCGACTACAGAGAGGTGCTGGGTAAGTGAGGGTGGCTGGCGGGTGGCGGGGTGCTGGGTGCTGCCGGCCCTCACCCCGCCCCTGCCTGTGCCGGCAGTGCTGAACACGGCGGGCACTCCCGGCCCCGCGGGGCCCCGCACACGCGTCGCCGGTGCCAATGGCAGTGCCGGTGCTGGTGCAGCGGGAGGGGGATCCCCCGTGCCCCTGCTCAGGGCCACATCCTGCTGCCTGGAGGATCTGCGGCCCGAGCTGCTGGAGGAAGTGAAGGACATCCTCATCCCCGAGGAGCGGCTTGTCACCCACCGCCACCAGGTCATCGGCAAAGGTGACTCTTTGGCACCCCGATTTGGCTGTGGCGTCGCCTGCCCGATGTGTGTGGTGCCAGCTTTGTGCCACCCGTCCCTGCAGGGCACTTTGGCAGCGTCTACCACGGCACCTACACGGACCCACTGCTGGGGGACCTCCACTGTGCTGTCAAGTCCCTGCACCGTGAGTGTGTGTGTGCACCCTCCCGTGTGTGCTCCCATGGCATCCCACAGCAGCGGAATGGCCGCAGCTCAGCTCTCCGCAGGCATCACGGACCTGGAGGAGGTGGAGGAGTTCCTGCGAGAGGGCATCCTCATGAAGAGCTTCCACCACCCCCAGGTGCTCTCGCTGCTGGGGGTGTGCCTGCCCCGCCACGGGCTGCCCCTCGTCGTGCTGCCTTACATGCGCCACGGGGACCTGCGCCAGTTCATCCGCACCCAGGAGCGGGTAGGGGGTACCCCAAGGGGGGGAGGTGAGGGGTGCCAGGGTCTCCATGCTCACCACTCCTATCTCACAGAGCCCCACAATGAAGGAGCTCATCGGCTTCGGGCTGCAGGTGGCCCTGGGCATGGAGTACCTGGCCCAGAAGAAGTTCGTGCATCGGGACCTGGCGGCCAGGAACTGCATGTAAGTGTGGCTGTGCCCTCCAGACCTCCACCCCAGGGTAACCGCCTGGGTCTGGGGGTGCCCAGGAGTCCTCACCTCAACGTGGTGTCCTGCAGGCTGGACGAGACGCTGACAGTGAAGGTGGCTGACTTTGGGCTGGCGCGGGACGTGTTTGGCAAGGAGTACTACAGCATCCAGCAGCACCGCCACGCCAAGCTGCCCGTCAAGTGGATGGCGCTGGAGAGCCTCCAGACCCAAAAATTCACCACGAAGTCTGATGTGGTAGGAAGGCCCCCCCTGCCTGTCCCGTCCCCCATCTCCATCCTACCTGTGCACCCATGGCACTCCCTTCTCGGCAGTGGTCCTTCGGGGTGCTCATGTGGGAGCTGCTGACGCGTGGGGCATCGCCGTACGCCGGGGTGGACCCCTACGACATGGCCCACTACCTGCTGCAGGGGAGACGCCTGCCACAGCCCTCTCACTGCCCCGACACCCTGTGAGTGCAGCTGGGGGCGGGCGGGGTGGCAGGGCTGTGCTGGGGGCTGCCAGCACTGACCGGCTGTCGCTGCAGCTACAGGGTGATGCTGAGCTGCTGGGCGCCGGCGCCCGAGGACAGACCGTCCTTCACGGGGCTGCTGGGGGAGCTGGAGCGTGTCCTGGCCACACTGGATGGTGAGCACTATGTCAACCTGACTGTCACCTACACCAACCTGGACTGGGGTCCTCCCTTTCCCCCTGCTGCCCCGGAGCAGCTGCCTGATAGCGAGGATGAGGATAAACATAATGAGGAGGAAGAAGAAGAGAAGGAAGAGGAGGAGGACGATGACACATCTGTGTGCTGATGGGATTCCCTGCACCAGGGGTCTCCAGACCCCCATATACCATAGGCACACTCCCCTGAGGAGGGATGCAGTGTGCAGCCAGTGTGCTGTGGGGCACCCTCCCTATGGGATGGGTGCTGGGGGGCAGCTGGGTGCCATGGAGTGCTCTCCCATGGCTCACACCCAGACCCTGCTGGCTGCTCCCCAGGATTGGTCCTGCACCACAGGATGCTGGGGGCTCATTCCTGTGCTGGCTGCGTGGTGTGAGGCTCAGCCGCACAGCTCTGGGGTCTGGGGCTCAGCCCCACAGTGAATGGGTGCTGTGGGGCCCCATACCCAGCGGGTGCTGTTGTGTGGCCTGGCCTTCCCAGGGCTCCCATGGAGTTTCCAGCCTCTTGGCTGCTCAAATCACTCATTAAAACCTAATTATATTTTTTCCCTGGCTGAGGCTGTGTCTTTGAGGGGACTGTTCTTCAGGTTGGCAGCACCCTCGTGCCCCTGCATGGGTGAGGTGTCTCCCCACCCACTCCTGGAGCACCCATCTCGTGGGAGGCACTGAGGAGGGGGCACCCACTGTTGCTGTGCCAGTGACAGGAGGGCATCCACACAAGGGTGCTGCTGTGGCCACCCTGGAACCATCCCCCACTGCCTGCCACACTGGAGCCCTGCTCTGCACCATGTCCCACCTCTGACCTCGGGATGTCTAGCAGGTTTTTGCTAAAAGTTCTTCTCCCAGCCACATCCAGCCCGTGCCCAGGGTGAGGCACGAGGCATGTGAGGAGTACCACGCTCCTGGGCATGGGGTGATGATGCCCCCGCAGTCCTGGCATATGGGCCCCCAGGATTTGTGGCATGATGGATGCCTGGGACATGGAGTTGCAGTGCCCATGGGATCATGAAGCTCCTGGGATGACAGGTGGCCAGGCATCAGATCAGGATGCTCTTGGGGTTGTGGGTGCCCAGCCAGGGGGTCATGGAGCCCAGGACATGGGACTACAGCTGTAGTCCCACTAAGGTGCCCGTGGGACCACAGGACACGATCACAGTGAGGACATGATGGCATCCAGCCCGTCTACTGCTCCTCACCCTGCCTGCCTGCACAGGATGCAGTGGGGCACACTGCTCCAGGCTTGGGGCTGCCACTGGTGACAAAGAGTCATTACCAGCTTCACTTAATGACACCTTTATTGCTTCAGTACTTCGGTGGAGCTCGTGCCTCAGGGCATGCCAAGAGATGGGCATGGTCTGTGGTGCTTGCTGCCCAACGAGCTGGCTTTCTGTTCCTTTTGGTGGAAGTGGTGGCAGATGTCACACTTGCAAGGAGCTCATCCTGATGAAGAGGTCCCTTCTGCCCCAGTTTTGGGGCAAAAATCACCTAGAACAAGACACTGGAAGAGAGGAGGGGCACAGTGATGGGCATCCCTTGGCTGGGTACAGGTCCAGAGTTCGGGGCAGGGGACAAGGGCAGGGTCTGGGGTGGATGGATGGATGGATGGATGGATGGATGGATGGATGGATGGATGGATGGATGGATGGATGGGCAGGGGACATTCAGGGCAAACCCAGGATGTGCAAGGGATGCTGAAACCCACACAGTCTGTGGCTGTGGGCAGTGCTGCTCCTGTTCCATATCCAGCCACACGGGCCCTGCCACCAACACTGGCTTTAAATAAAACCTCCTCGGCTGCTCATTAAGCAGTGCTGGAGCCCGGGGCCGTGTCAGCTCCCATCAGCCAAGCTGTCCATCTCCACCAGCACCTCGCACCTGCACGGCTCCACCGCCACGTGCCCGAGGGTATTTTTAGTGCAGCTGGGTCCCAGCATCCCACAGTCAGGGCAGCTGCCAGCACCGTGCCTCAGTTTCCCCACAGTGCGACTGCTCTGCTCTCCTGGCCTGGGTTTTGGGTGACCATGACCTCCAGTGTAGGTGCTGACCTTGCACATGGAAGGCCAAGCAGCACCATTTGGCTCGCTGCTGAGTTGCTGTGGCAACAGGAAGAGCCTGGCACTGTGTGATTATTAGGGCTGGACCAGAAATGGGAGGTCCTGGGCACTGGGACTGGGGGTGCTGTGTGCCTGGGGGGCAGCCAGGGGGGCTGACTGGGACACCAGCAGCTCATGGGATGCAGGGATGGATGGATGGACGGATGAGTGCGTAGATGGATGATGGATGGATGGACAGATGTATGGATGGGGGATGGATGGATGGGTGGATGGACGGGTGGATGGGGTGGGTGGATGGATGAGTGCATGGAGGGATGAGTGGCTGCATGGATGGGTAAATGCAGGGATGGACGGACGGACAGATGGATGGATGGACAGGCTGGCATCTTGGCCATTGCCGTGCTCAGCACGAAGCAGAGTGGGTGCCCAGGGCTGTGTTTGGGTGGCAGGTGCGTGCCAGGCCGGCTGTCTGGTGCCATGGGACAGCTGTGGGAGCAGCCAGTGGGAGCAGGGAACGCGCAGGGAGCAGGGCTGCCCGTGCTGGCACTGGGGTGGCACAGTGAACTGCCTGTTAGCTGACAAGTCTGGTGTGGTTACGGTGATGTGCGTGTGGGCGGCCCCCGCTTTAGGCTGCCCCCTCCCCCCAGGAATGTGCCTGCAGAGATGACAGATTTCATGCTAATCCACATTTATCCTGCCCTAATTACGCTGCGGGAGGTGAGGAGCGAGCGCCCAGACTTCCATGCCAGGGGCTGGCATGTGCCCACCCCTGTCCGACGCTGCCTGACGCTGCTAGCAGGGACTGGTACTGGCACTGTGCCCACTGCCATGGCGCCGGGGACAGGCAGGTGACCTCTCAGGGTGGCACCTTGCATGGCACCTGGCACCCCTGCCGCAGCTGGGGATGCCTTAGAGGTGCTACCTGGGCACCCACAGGTGGGCACTGTGCGGCTCACCCTGAGGTGCTGTGTGGCTGGGCACGGTTGGTGCAGCACCGGGCTGAGCTGTGGGCAGGTGAGGCCGTGCCGGGCCGTGCCACGCTGTGCCAGGTCGTGCCAAGCCACCTCGTGCCCGCCGTGCCCATCCGCCGCGGCTGCGGCAGAGCAGCCGGTGTCCCATCCCGGCAACGCGCCGTGCACACACAGCACTTTAAATGTTTTATTTGGGGAAAGTGCTGTCGTTAGCAGGGATTAATTATTAAAATCGGAGCCATCTATAAAACATGAGTGGCCGCACGCGGGGCTGCGGGCGCACAGGCAGGGCCGGGCACAGCCCCGGGACCTGCGGGGACAGCCGGGGATGCCGCAGCGACCCCGACAGCGGGGGGCTCCTGGTGGCACAGGGCAGGCAGCGAGTGCCACGGGGGGCGGCTGGACCGGGGACGGGCAAAACTGTGCTAAATCAGTGTTTGGGTGGGGCGGTGGTCCCGGTGCCAGCCGTCCCGCTGAGAGGTGGCAGCAGGCAGCGCCGAGCTGTTTTTAGCGGCTGCCGGTGCCGGGAGCGGGCGTGAAGAGCAGCCGCCGCGGCACCGACGTGCCGTTTTTAGAAACCGGCAAGCTCTGCTAATGATGGCTGCGAGCGGCGGGGGGGCTGCACCCTGGCACCCCCAGTCCCTGCTGCCCGCACCCCGGCCCCTCTGCCCTCCCCGCCTGGCTCTGGAACCTGGAACTGGGGGCACCTGCCCAGCCCGGGGCACCCCTGCACCCCCCTGGGGCTCTGCTGGCCCTCGGGGAGCTCTGCTGGCCCCCAGAGAGCTTTGGCAGAACTTGGGGAGCTTCAGGGACCCCTGGGAAGCTTTGGCAGCCCCTAAGGACCTCTCCTGGTCTCTGAGGAGCTTTGGCTGCCCTTGGGGAGCTTTGGTGGTCCCTGGGAATCTCTGCTGTCCTCTGGGGATATCTGCTGAGCCCTGGAGGAGCTTTGCTGGCACCTGGGGAGCTCTGCTGTCCTCCAGGAAGCTTTACTACACCCCAAAACATTCCAAGGTATAAGGCACATATTTTTCTCCTTTCTCTGTCCCTGAGACAGCAGCTGCCCTCAGCTGGGGAGGTTCACCCCATGCCACACCCACCCAGGACCATGCCAGCCATGTCCCAGTCCTGGTCCTGGTCCTCTCCCTTGGGGACAGTTCTCTCCCTGAGCTCTCGCCCTGAGCAGCCTCCCTATGGCTGGTCCCTATGGCTGCAGGTACTGCCAGAGACCCAGGGGACCCCCAAAGCTCTTTCAGTGGGAAGGGGAGTCAAACCCTGACCCCATGCCATCATTGTAATGCAGGAGTAGGCTGTGGAAAACAAGCCCCTTTCCCCATCAGGGCTCCAGGGACACGAGCCAGCCCTGGATGTGACAGGGACCCAGACAGTGGAGAGGCACAAGGCTTTTTGTACTGCCATTGACACGGGGACAGCCCGCACCAGGAGCGGGCTGGCCAGGGACAAGCAGCCACGGTCAGAGGTGCCCAGCCGGGTGTGGGGCAGCCCTGTCCTCACACACAGCGTGGCCACCGACCGGGACGGGCTGGCGGAGCTGCGGCACTGCAGGGACACAGTGGCCGAGCTGAGTGGCTCTCTGGCCGTGTCCCCTGGCGCTTCCCGAGCACACAGGTGCCATGGGACACCTGTGGGCAGGGCAGCCCTGCCACTGTGCCCCCGGCCGCCGCTCATCCATGAAGGGCCAGGGGTGGCGATCAGCTGCTGCTCCGCCTCTTTTTCTCCCCCCGCTTGCTCCCCACCGGCCCCCCGAAAGGAGGGACGGGGTTTATTTGGCCCCGTTGCCGGGCCGACGTGCGCAATTATCGCTGATTGCCTGGCGGTTGCCATGGCGATGGCAAGCACGCAGGGATGCGGTGCCGCGTGGTGCTTGAGTCACGGACACGCCGAGCACCCCCCACTGCACCCCACTGCACCCCGCTGCACCCCGCCACAGACAGGCTGGACATGCATCCCCCTGCACCCCAGAACAAACACGCTGCACCCCCTGCTGCACCCCACTGCACCCCCAGCACGGCCTGGGCTGCCCTGCATCCCCTGCACCCTCCTGGGACAGGGGCATACGGCCAGATGTCCCCCGGCTGAGGCGTCCAGGTGTCCCCCACCCCACGTCCCCCATCTGAGGCAGAGGTGTACAGCCCTGGCAGCTCCACCTTGGGCATCCCAGGCTCACTTCTCCCAAACCATCCATGCCATCCACACTCAGCTCTGGGGTGTGGTGGGAGGGGGTGGGCGCATGGGGCAGTGGGACATGGCACTGTAAGGACAAATGCCATTGGGGTCAGCAGAGCTCACCACCCCAAAATGGGGCACGGAGCGGACCAAGATCTGAACGGAGTCAGGAGCGGGAGGGGACCAGAGCACAGCGACGGGGACTGCTGCCAGGAGCTGACAGGCACGAGCCGGGGTCAAGGGACAACGGGGAAGTGCCACCACGCTCCTCGTGCTGCAGGCCACCAGCGGGCAGCCCCGAGGCACACGGGTGCCTGCCGGGTAATTACGGCTTACGCTCGGGTCCCCGCGAGGTGCAGAGATTAATGACCGCGGCTGCTGCCAGCCGGTATGATTAAACTCTTGATTAGAAGCTCAAACTACAGTGCCCTGCAAATTCCCCCTGCTCTCACACACCCTTAATCACCCAGCACGGGTGGTGACGGGGCTGGGGCTGGCAGGGCTCGGTGCCACACAGGGCACCCCAGCTGCCTCTCCCTTGGAGTGCTGCTGGTCTCCAGCCAGCAGAGGGGAGAGGCTGCTTCGGGACCCCGGTGTCCCCACCCACGGGTGGGAGAGGGCTGTGGGTCCTGTGAGTGGATGGCCACGCCCTGTGGCGGCTGAGGACCTCAGGAGGTTTGGGGAGCTGGGGTTTGGTGGGCGCAGGGGCGGGAGGGGAGGGAAGTGGGGGTGCGGTTCGGGAGCAGCACCATATGGGCAGCAAATGCCAGCGCGTGGCACGCAGCCCTCGGGGAGGCTCCACACGTGGCTGCACTGCGTGAGGAGCGGGGGCGAGGGGGCTGGGGAAGGGACTGCTGCCCGGCTGTGCCCTGGGGACTGGGCTGCCCACCCCAGGCTGGTCCCACACTGGGCTGTGGGCAGAGGTGAGAGAATCAGGGTGGCCGATTTCTTGTCCCTTTCTTGTTCCTTGCCCCCAGGCTGTGGGACAAGGACAAACCCCGTCATAGGGAAGTGAGGAGAGCCTTCGGCCCTGCGGCTGGAGGAGAAGTTGCCTGGCAGGAACATGTGTCTACCCATGTCCTCATGGCACCTTTTAGTGCCCTCAGGGGACAGATACCTGTGATGCTGAGCCCATGCTCAACTTTCTAAAATCCTGCTCCCATGCCATGCCATGCCATGCCATGCCATGCCATGCCATCCCATCCCATCCCATCCCATCCCATCGGCCATGGCACAGCCCAGGGGATCCCGGCTCGCCCCGAGGGTACGCTGCGGGGTCCCGAGGGCTCTGCGGTCCCCCGGGCTGTGGCGGTGTCCCCGCTCGGTGGCAATGCCCGGCCTCGCCCCCCGCGCTCCCGCGCCACGCGTGACCCGGCCCCACGGGCGGGGCGCGAAGTTTGGCGGTGACGTCAGGGGCGGGGCGGGGCGCGAGGGGGGCGTGGCCCCGCGGTCCCGCCCCCCCAAGTTGCCGGACGGGCGCCGTGGGCACGGCGAGCTGCCGGAGCCCGGCTCCCCCCGCGCCTCCCCGCTCGCCCCTCCGGGGCCGCTGCTGCCCCGGTGCCGCCCCCGTCCCCGCGAGGAGCCCGGAGGACCGGGCCGGCACCGCGGGAGCGGATGCTGCCGGGGAGCCTCTCCCCGTGCCCCCGCCGCCGAGCATCCCCTCCCGGACCCCGCACCTCTCTCTCCCGCAGTCCGCTCCCTTCCCGCTGCCGCAGCGCTCCGAGCCGGCCAAACGCAGCCCTCCCTGCGGTGCGCGGCCCGGGCTGTCCCTCCGCACGCCCGGCCCGGGGGCGGCGGGACTCCCCCAGCCCTGTGTGAGCCCCGGCCCGGCGGCTCCGCGGGCAGCGCTGGGCCGGCCGGCCCCTCCGCCTCCCGCTGCCTGCACTAGCAGCATTTCGGTCCGTCTTAGCCCGGCTGCGTTTTCTGCCTCTCCCCGGTACATCCTTCCCCCGGGACGTGGGGGCGGCACGGCAGGGGGAGCCCCCCACGGACATGTCCAGGGCGGCTGCAGGTGGAAGCGGGGCTGCAGATGCAATACCAGCCGGTGGCAGCTCACGCCGTGGGGCAGAGCTGGGGCTCGGGGGCTGGGGGGCCCCGCTGGCGAGGGCTGCACGGCTGCGTCATCCCTCCGTGCCATCCCCACCCGGCCACCCACTTCCCCGCTATTGTCTTACACCCGCTGTTGCTTCTGCTCCCAAATTAGACTCCTGGAGGGGGGTGCTGGCTGCGTGCGGGTGCCAGCGCAGCGCGGAGCCTTCCCCCTGGCACCCCGGGGAGGGAGCACTCATCCCTTTGCCCACCTCTTGCCTGGGTGCCCCTGCCCCGGGAGGGTGCTCTCACCTGTGGGGTACAGGTGCTGACCCTGGTGTCGGGCTGGGTACCAACCTCCCTTGCAGGATATCCCAGGAGCGCTGAGCCCCTGGAAGCCAGCCTGGGGCAGGGGAGGGTGGCAGTGCTCAGCCCTGGCAGGATGGGTGGCCACTAAACCAACGAGAAGTAATTTTATGAGCGCAGATTAGCTGAGAGCTCCCATAGACAGCAATAAAAGCCCAATATATCATCCCACCCCGGTCCCCTTCCCAGCTAATCCTGGCACCGTGCTGCCAGTGCTGGCAGCCTGCCCATCCACCAGCCAGCCCTGCCCCTGATGATCTGTGGCACTGCGCCCTCCGCCCCTCCAGCAGCTGCCAGGACAGCCCTCATTCCCCTTGGCCAGGTACAGTGGCACGGCAGAGCTGGTGTCGTCCACCAGCCAGCCCTGCCCCTGATGATCTGTGGCACTGCGCCCTCCGCCCCTCCAGCAGCTGCCAGGACAGCCCTCATTCCCCTTGGCCAGGTACAGTGGCACGGCAGAGCGGGTGTCGCGTGGCATGGGGACACAGGCAGGGCATGTTTGCCAGGAGAGCTGCTGGGATGAGTCAGGTGTAGGCTGGAAAACCTCACCCAATCTGGGGCACAAGCAGAGGTGTCCCATGGGTGCTCTTCTCTTTTGGGACTTGGTGCACGCTGAGCAGGACTGGGGCAGGTGCTCTTACTCAGTGCAGGTTTCCTGGCAGGACAGTGCCTGGGTGCCTGCAAACTGGGAGCTCCATCCTGGGGGCATCGCTCCAGCAGGGGCAGAGGCAGGTCAGCCCCACAGGATGGAGGCAGGAAGGAGCATCCCCCCATTCCCTGGCTCACCGCACTCACGTCCCACCCAGGTTTGGGTCGATCACCCCAGGGAGCACTTAAGTGCATGCCCTGGGTGCTGCAGGCAGCACGCCTTCCTCCCGGGGCCTGCACGGCAGGGCTGGGGCTGTGCACCTGCGGGTGGGTCGGGTGCTGCCGGGTGCTGCCCGTCCCTGCCCCCTCCGAAGGATGTGCCGCTTTCTGCATCTTCAGCTCCCATCGCCATAGCAACAGGCTCGGCGCTTGGGTACCCGCGATGCCGGCTCCCGCATCCCGCATCCCGCAGCCATCCTGCCCGCAGCCCTCGCCGCCGGGCCGGGCGCCGCCGCTGCGGCACAGGCAGCCCCGCACAGCACAGCGTGGGGTTTGGGGAGCTTTAGCCTGGCCAGGGGTGCCTCCAGCATCGTGCCAGCTTCCCGCCGCAAGGTCCCGCTCAGGGCTGGGGGGCCCCAGGCAGCTCTGTCATCTTCTGAGCCGTCAAAAAATAATGTCAGCTGGAACTTGCTCCCGCTAACACGGTGGGAAAGGGGAAGAAATCACTTTGTGATCAATTTTTTTTTTCTGGGAAGCGTCCAAGAAGGATCTGGTTTTGAAGAGTTCCCAACAGGGAAGCAAGGGGTAAAGCATCCTTCTGAAAGGGCTGGAGAAGCTGGTGTCTGCCAAGGCTGGTGTCCTGACCGCTGCCAGTGGCAGGAGGGCTGGCACCTCCGAGCTGCAGTGCCACCTGCCTGGTGCCACAGTCAGGGCTGGTTGGGGATGGCAAGCTGAGACTGGTGTAACCCACTGCACATGTGACAGCGTGTGACAATGCTCTGCCTGGGGAGGCCCCATCTGCTGAAATGCTACCGTGGGCAAGACTGGGCTGGGAAACAGGAAAGGATCCGTTCACCTCCGCTTGCCTCCCCAGCGGGTGCTCCGGGCACTGTGCTAACCCTGACTGCTAATTAATCATTAATAATCCACAAACGGGGGCCAGAGGGGGAAGCCTGTGGCTGTGCTGGCAGCCTGAGCCCGGGCAGAGAGGCTGGATGCCACGGGCATGGATGCACATCGGTGGGGCTGGGCACAGGGCAGCTTGCAGCAGCTGCAGAGCGCGAGCAGCCGCTGTGCTCGGGCTCCGCGTTAATCGCACAGCTCGGGGGGCTCTGCTGTGGCCCCAGGGGCCAGCGGTGCCAGGGCACTCACTGCCTCTCCCTGCCCTGCCAGCACCGGGCCCTGCGATGCCGTTTGGCTGCGTGACGCTGGGAGACAAGAAAGATTATAACCAGCCGTCTGAGGTGACCGACAGATATGACCTGGGCCAGGTCATCAAAACGTGAGTTGGTCCCTCCACGGATGCCCTGGGGAGCGCCAGCCACCCGTGTGGGGCTCTTGGGGTGCTGAGGAGTGGCACAACACTGCCTGTGGGGGCTCTGGGGGTGCTGGTCCCCGGCTGGGCAGGGATTGCAGGGTGTATTTTGGGGTGGCTTTTCCCTAATTAGTCCCTCTTGCTCGTGGGTGGCATGGGGGATATTCACAGCTAGCTCCAAGAAGGGCAGTGAGCTTTCCCACTGCTGCTGGCTGCAGCTGGGCAGCTTCCCATATCCCTTCCTCCTCCCCTCAAGATTTGCAGGGATTGCAGCAATTCCACACAATCCTGTCTCCCTGGAGCATTTTGTGAATCAGGAGGGCTCAGCTACAGCAAAGGAAAGGCAGATGTCACTTGCGGGGCAGTGGAGGACTGCTGCTTCCCCCAACTTTTATTGCCGTGCTGAGGAACCTGTTAGGATGCATTGAAAAAAATGAAGCCCTCGCACCCCTTGAGAGAGGGCTGACCGCAAAATAGGCACCAGAATTTTTTCCATCAACTTCCAAAACACCTGCTTGGACAGAGGTCACACCTGGCAGGCTCACACTCGGTGGCAGTGCGGACCTTGGTGCTCTCAGATCTTTGCTCCATCCCCTGGGCAGTTTGTCCCAAGGCCCACAGGTCACTGTTCCCCTCCACCCAGGGCAGTGGCTGTGGGGATTTCAGCGCAGTTGGGGGCATTGGAAAGCCAATGGCTCTGCTGGAGCAGTGCCAAGTGCCCCGGGGGGCTCCCCTGCAGCTGCAGCCTTGCCGATGGGCTCCAGCACCATTAATAATAGAACAGAAATACTGCAGCTACCGGCACATCTCCCTTTCTTTCTCCCCCACTGCTGTGCTGATGGTAATGTCGGGTGTGCTGCTGTTCCACCTTGGCATGAGTGGCTTCGCAGGGGGTCTTACCCCTCCTGTTCTGAGGATGGGTTTTTTTTAACCAGCAAATTCTTTCCCTTCCCTATCAATTTGCTTCTTCCATATCAGTTGCTTCTCACTGCTGGTTTTTTGCTTCCCCTCCAAAGTGTTTTTGAGCCACAGCTTTCTTCTACTTCTGTGGCATCTCCCCTGACTGCTGGCATCTGGGGGAATGCTGGTGGGCCCAGGCACCACCCAAGCACCCCAGTCTCAGTGGTCCCCAGGAGCGGGGTGATGTCTGGGGCTACCCTGCAGGGAGGAGTTCTGTGAAATCTTCCGGGCCAAGGAGAAGACGACGGGGAAGTTGTACACCTGCAAGAAGTTTCTGAAGCGGGATGGGCGGAAAGTGCGGAAGGCAGCCAAAAACGAGATCATCATCCTCAAAATGTGAGTGCTGGGGCTGGAGGGGATCCTGTGCTACTGGGCAAACTGGGAACTCCCACCCATGCCCCTGTCTCTCTGTAGGGTGAAGCACCCCAACATCCTACAGCTGGTGGATGTCTACATCACCCGCAAGGAATATTTCATCTTCCTGGAGCTGTAAGTTTGGGACATCTGGAAGTGGGGAGGGGGTGGCCCCACCAGGGTCGGGTCCCAGCAGAGCTGCTGTCTGCAGGGCCACTGGGCGGGAGGTCTTCGACTGGATCCTGGACCAGGGCTACTACTCGGAAAAGGACACCAGCAATGTCATCCGGCAGGTGCTGGAGGCTGTTGCCTACCTGCACTCCCTCAAGATCGTCCACAGAAACCTCAAGGTGGGTGGCAGGGGGGTGGGAGCACCCATGGGTGCTGCCATGCCCCCCGTCCTGGCACTCACAGTCCCTGCACTGGCAGCTGGAGAACCTGGTGTACTATAACCGCCTGAAGAACTCCAAGATCGTCATCAGCGACTTCCACCTGGCCAAGCTGGAGAATGGGCTCATTAAGGAGCCCTGTGGCACCCCTGAGTACCTGGGTGGGTGAGAGCCAGCCGGGTGGGCATGCAGTGGGCAATGCTGGGTCCCAGCACGTCCCTGCTGCTTATCCATCCTTATCCTTATCCATCCCTTACCGCCTGCTGCTGCACCTCCCATTCCCCATCACCCTGGGGCTGATCCTGGGTGCTTCCAGTGGGTGCCTCCCACTCCCCATCACCCCAGGGGCAGGAGGCCGGGCAGCTGGGGACCCCGGGGGATGGTTGCTCTTGTGTCTCTGGCAGCTCCGGAGGTGGTGGGGCGGCAGCGGTACGGGCGGCCGGTGGACTGCTGGGCCATCGGCGTCATCATGTACATCCTGTGAGTGTGGGGGGAGGGACAGGGGAGCTGCAGGGTAGCTACAGGGGCTGGGGCGGGACTGAGCCCCCCACCACATTCCCCAGCCTCTCGGGAAACCCCCCTTTCTACGAGGAGGCGGACGAGGATGACTATGAGAATCACGACAAGAACCTCTTCCGCAAAATCCTGGCTGGGGACTACGAGTTCGACCCGCCGTACTGGGATGACATCTCGCAAGCGGGTGAGCCCCACACTGGGGGGTACGTGGGGTCCCCGTGTTGTCCCCTGCCAGCGCTGACTTCTCCCCCTGTGCCCCCAGCTAAGGAGCTGGTGACACGCCTGATGGAGGTGGAGCAGGACCAGAGGATCACAGCAGAGGAGGCCATCTCCCACGAGTGGTGAGCAGCGGCAGGGTCAGATGGGGAGCCAGGGGGGCTGGTGGGGGCTGCTCACCCCTCACTGCCTCTCCAGGATCTCTGGGAATGCCGCCTCTGACAAGAACATCAAGGACGGCGTCTGTGCCCAGATCGAGAAGAACTTCGCCCGGGCCAAGTGGAAGGTGGGTGTGGGTGTGCCGTGCCTCCGTGTCCCCTCTCAGCCAAGCCCGGTCCCCCACCATGGGGCTAAGAGCCTGGTGGGGCTGCCAGTCCCTGCGCCTCCGTCAGACCCACACCCCCCGTCTCTCCCCTGCAGAAAGCCGTGCGAGTGACCACGCTCATGAAACGCCTGCGGGCGCCCGAGCAGACGGAGACGGCGGCGGCCCCGGCAGCGACCCCGGCCCCGGCAGCGACTCCGGCCCCGGCAGCGGCTCCGACCCCCACAGCAACTCCAGCCCCGGCAGCGACCCCGGCCCCAGCAGCTACCCCGGCTCCGGCAGCACGCCGCCCGCCGCCACGTGTGACGAGGCCGGGGCCGCCGCCGAGCCCCCCGGCGAGCAGAGCGGCTGAGCGGCCCCGCGCCCCCTGTAGATAGCCCCGGCATGGCCCCCAGCCCCGCCTGCGCCCCCTTTTCTACGTGCCCCGCCGGAGAGCCGGCCGCGGGGCAGAGCCCTGCATGGCGCCCGTTCCCCCGTGTCCTCGCAGCTCTCTCAGTCTGTCCCCCGCCGCCGTCCCCTGCCCCGGGGATGCCCAGAGACGCGGGGCAGCCCCTGGCCCCGCAGCGCTGGGGGCAGCGCGGGGCCCGGGACCGCGGGCGGGGCCGCCCGGGACGGAGCGGGGCCGTCCCGGAGACCCCCTCTGCGTCCCGGCATCCCCGGGGGGCACACGGGGACCCCCGCCCGGGGGCAGCCGCACGGCCCCCACGCGTTGTGCCNCCCTCCCCGGCCCCGCTTCCCTCCCCCCTCGCAGCTGCATGCCCGCAGGGCCGGCTCTGCCCGCGGCTGCCGCCCCGCGCCCCGCCGCTGTATCTCTGGCAAATAAAGCCCCCGCTGAGGACAAACTGAGACAGCACCAGCGCCGCCTGCCCGCTCTCTCTGTGGGGCCGGGGCGGCGGGCGAGGCGCGGCGGGCAGCGAGGGCAGCGCGACCAGCGCCTGCCGCCGGGAACGAGCCCGGGAAGGAGCGCGGCTGCCATGCCGGGAAGGAGCCCTGGAAGGATCCCCGGTGCCATCCCCGGTGCCATCCCGGGGCACGGGCCCGGTGCCAAGCCCCGCCCACTCCCCCACCGGCCCCGCCCCCGGAGGCCACGCCCACCCTGCCCGGCCCCAGCTGCATGCCCGCAGGGCCGGCTCTGCCCGCGGCTGCCGCCCCGCGCCCCGCCGCTGTATCTCTGGCAAATAAAGCCCCCGCTGAGGACAAACTGAGACAGCACCAGCGCCGCCTGCCCGCTCTCTCTGTGGGGCCGGGGCGGCGGGCGAGGCGCGGCGGGCAGCGAGGGCAGCGCCTGCCGCCGGGAACGAGCCCGGGAAGGAGCGCGGGTGCCATGCCGGGAAGGAGCCCTGGAAGGATCCCCGGTGCCATCCCCGGTGCCATCCCGGGAAGGAGCCCTGGAAGGATGCCGGGTGCCATCCCGGGAAGGATCCCCGCTACCATCCCCGGTGCCATCCCGGGAAGGATCGCCGGTGCCATCCCGGGTGCCATCCCGGGAAGGATCTCGGGTGCCATCCCCGGTGCCATCCCGGGAAGGAGCCCTGGAAGGATGCCGGGTGCCATCCCGGGAAGGATCCCCGCTACCATCCCCGGTGCCATCCCGGGAAGGATCCCGGGAAGGATCCCCGGTGCCATCCCGGGAAGGATCCCGGGAAGGATCCCCGGTGCCATCCCGGGAAGGATCCCGGGTGCCATCCCCGGTGCCATCCCGGGGCACGGGCCCGGTGCCAAGCCCCGCCCACTCCCCCACCGGCCCCGCCCCCGGAGGCCACGCCCACCCGGCCCGGCCCCACCCTTGGCCCCGCGCGGGATCCCCTGAGGTCACTTCCGGGCGGGCCGGAAGCGGCGCGGTCGCGGGCGCGTTTGAACCGCGCAGGGCCGCGCGGGCGCTCGGCCCGGGGCCGCCACCCTGCGGAGCCGCCGCTCGCCGCGCCCGGCCCCGCCATGCCCATCCGCGCCCACTGCACCATCTGCTCCGACTTCTTCGACAACGAGCGGGACGTGGCGGCCGTGCCCTGCGGGCACACCTTCCACCAGGCCTGGTGAGCGGCGGGCGGGCGGGGCTCGGGCCGGGCCGTGGGCTGCCAGCGAGGGCTCCGAGGAGCTCGCGGAGCTGCCGCAGCAGGCCGGGCTGTGCTGCTCACGGGCTGGCCCGGGGGGTGGCGGAGTCGCCGTCCCTGGAGGCCTTTAAGGCAGGAGTGGCAGTGCACTTGGCATGGAGCTGGTCGGTCATGGGCCGGGCTCGATCATCTCGGATCTTCTCCGGCCCAGTTGATTCTGTGCTGCCTGCAGGCTCCCTGCTCTCCTGCTCAGTGTCACAGGGAGTTGGTATGGTGAAGCTGCCCTGCTAATTCCGTGCTTTTCTAGGACCGTGTTGCGAATGTCTGCGTTGAAAGGAAACGGTTCTTCTGAGGAAATAAACTTTGCGTGGGGAGAGGGTGGGCACTTGCTTTCCTGGCTGTCGGGCTTGGAAAGGACCACGGGTGTGATTGTCACTGCTCACTCAGCAGCGCTGCCCGGGCCGGCTCTGCCAGCAGCCAGCGGAGCAGGGAGAGCTTCCAGAGGTAACCTGCTTCCAAAATAAACCTTTCCAGCATGGCGTGGTGGCTCGGTTGCACAGTGCATCAGTGGCTGTCGTGGGCAGCCCGGCAGGTGTGTGTTCATGATCCCAGAGCAGGGGCAGCCCGGCACCCCTGGCTCAGGGATCCGTGCCCAGTGCTGGCATCTCTGCTGTCCCCTCCTGACAGAGCAGCTCCTGTGGCATCCACCCGCTCCTGCGAAGCTGCAGCTCCTCAGTGCCTGTCTCCCAGAGAGATCTGAGCTCTGCAAAAGCTCTGCCCTGTTAGAGATAAGCTCACATGCTAAATTCAGCCAGGAATTGTCTTGGAGATGCGGGTGGAGCGCGGAGCTCCTGCCGGCCAGCGCTGCACTGAAGGTTTGCAGTTCTGTTGAGTGTGTGACAAGGAGTCACATCCTGCTGTCCCTGGGGAGCGGGGGGATGGCCCCTGGAAGCAGTGCCCCAGGACTGTAAGGATTTACTGTGTGTTTTCCTTTTCTCTCTCAGCCTCTTCCAGTGGTTTGACACTGCACCGAGCCGGACGTGCCCGCAGTGCAGGAACCAGGTAAAGCCATCCCCTGTGGCACCAGGGAGCTGTGGCCTGGGGTGATGCCAGAACAAGGCTCATGGTAAAAAGCAGAGGGTCCTTCTGTCACTTGGGACCCCCCAGAGGAGAGGAACTCCCCTCCACAGCCCTTGGGGCTGCAGTGGGCTGGGGGTGCCCTGCTGCTGTCTGCACTGCAGCTCCTTTCAAAAGGGGCTGTGGGTTTTCACAGCTTTTACTTAGGCTGGGTAAGTATTGACATGATGATAGGGGTCTGCAAGGATTAGTGGGGCACCTGGCTGGTGTTTCTGGTGTGCCCAGCCCACTGCTGCCAGGTGAAAAGCCTGTTCTGCTACACGTGGGCCTTGCAACTCCCCCTGGTTCAGCAGTACTCGACCCTCCCTTGAGAAAAGCCATGGCTGGGGAGAGAAGGAAGGATGTGCTCTGCTTCTGAGATAGGAAGCTGAGCCTTGGGTTTCCATTGGCTTAAGTGGGACCTGAACGTGTTTGAAGTCCCTTGTGCCACAGCCTTCATGCCTCCAGCAGGTCTTGGCACGTGGTGGCTGCAGGAGATGTTTTCCTCGCTCTCAGATGTAGATTTTTAGCCAGCTGCTGCTTGGGCTTATTCTGTGTTCGTGCTTCTTTCCTCCTCTCAAGGTCTTGGCCCTTGTTCCTTGCCTGACTTGTTGATTCCCTCTGTTCTTCTCTGCCTCTTACATCTCTGGGTTACCATGGAGTTATCGCGAAATAACATCTTATGTGGCAGTAACCATGCAATTAGCTGGTGTCATGACTGTATATAATACTTAAAACACAAAGCTGTAACTGCATGGGGGAGGTGTGGAGAGCTATCAAATTCAATTACAGCACCTTCTGCCTGCAGAAAGCAGCACGTACTTCTGTCTTAGGATTTGGCATCATGTTAGCTCAGCATCAGCTGCTTTGGGCTGAGCTGCCAGAGAACAGACTGCGCTCGATTCAGAAATGTCTGAATCTTTCTGCTGCGGCTCAGGAGCTTGGCTGGAGTCACACTCCCAGAAACTGAGTGGGGGGTCTGCTGCTGTGCTGTTGAGCCAAAGCAGAGCATCACCACTAATGGTGTCAAACACGTGATCTGATTTGCCTTTCATGGCCTTGTCACAAGACAGTACCTTCTCCCCCTCCATCTGTCTTCCGTATCTGTTGTTTCCATATTTGTGCCCATCAAACTCTTCTGTCTCCTGTGTTTAGGTCAGCAAAAGACACATCATCAGTAAGCTGTTTTTTGATGTTACCCTGGACGAGCAAGCAGCACCGGATGCTGAGACCTTGCAGGTAACTTGACGGGGCAGTTCTTTCCTCATGTGATGCTCCAGCCTCCTGGAAGGGTGGCCTGGCCTGCTGGTCCTCTGCCAGCAGGTGCTTCCCAAGCTGGAGCTTGCTGTGCTCATGTGTCTGACCTGAAGCATTTCAGTCTCTGGTGATTTGGCATTTCCTCTGATCAAATCCCATGTGGTGACCCAAGGAGCCTCCTCTCCTTCCTGCTCTTCCTTCTGCTTCTCACTTTACCTGGAAACCTGCTGAAACACCATCACATCAGACTGCTGTTCCTCCCTTGGGAATGAGGGTACAGGGCTGTTCCCGAGGGCAGGAGAAGGGAAATCCCAGGTGCAGTGAATTGCTGCTGGTATCTGTGGTGTGGCTGTGTGTGAGCCCTGCTAACCCCTCTGGAGAGAGGGGCCCATTGCAGGAAGTGCCTCCTGCTCCTCCCTCCTGTGCAGGAAGGTTGGTGGTGCAGATTGAAGGATGTGGGGCAGGGTGATGATAAAGTCATGATTCCCCAAGAGAGAGCTGGAAAGGAACTGCCTGAAGCCACACCAGCAGCAGTGAACAACGTGGAGGCTGGGTCTGGAGCTGGGACACTGGGTGGTGTGCTCCAAGTGCCACCTTTGGGTGCAGAGAGTTGGGTGTGAGTAGGGATAAACACAGAGTGGCTGTTCCACGTTCTCTCATTTGTGTAGTGTGGGTGAAACAGGGCTCCTTGTGTCTTGGAATTATCTGTTCCAAAAAAGGGTGGCCGGTTGACCTTGGTATAACGGGATGCTTGTACCCTCTTGTGTTTAGAAGCAGCATGTGCAGCAATTACCATAATTAGCAGTTGCCATGACAATTCTATATGTACTTTGTATGTCTTTAAAATAAAACCAGCCAGACTAGAATGTCAGTAGCACTGTCTTTCTCCAAGACCACCAGTAGCCAGTCTGAAGAGCCAAGTGTGCAGAGGAGTGGAGGAGCCTCTCTGGGCCCTGGGAGCCAGGGGCCCTCACAGCAGATACACATTTCCTTTTGTACAGATTGAGATCCATTCCCACGAGTGTAATGAGATGGGTGGTTTGGAAATGGCTTGTCTGGAGAGAACTGCCCTAGAAAACCTTCCTGTTCTCTCTCACCCCCACCCCAGGATCTAAAATGGGTTCCCCCAGCCTTCTGCTCCAGGCAGGCTGTGCAGAACTGCTCCCTTGCTCAAGGGCAGGGCTGTGGAGTTGCTCCTGCACAACAAGCTTAATAGTAACTGCTCTTGCTCCTATAAATCTTGTGTGTATGTGTCACAGCAACATCTAGCCTCAGTGTACAGCCTG